CTGAGAGAAGACAAATTACTGGTTTCATTGATCGAGCCGAATTTAATCCAGCTGTCATACGCAAATGTTTATGCAAAATAAATTGTAATGAAGTATGGAAAATTGATACGGTTAATGATCATTGTTATCATTTTAATGATTATTTCCAAATGCATTAAAAATGAATCATTACAGTCTAAGTTGATAAGATAATTATTTTTATCATTTTGATAATTATATCCGAATGCATGAAATGATCATTACAGTCAAAATTGATACGATAACCGTTCTTATCATTTTGAATACATTGAAAACGATCATTACATTCCAAATCGATAAAATAATCATTCTTATCATTCTGATGATTATATCCGAATGCATGAAATGATCATTACAGCTAAAATTGATACGATAACCGTTCTTATCATTCTGAATACATTGAAAACAATCATTACATTCCAAATTGGTAAAGTAATCATTCTTATCATTCTGATAACTATATTTCGAATGCATGAAATGATCATTACAGTTAAAATTGATACGGTTATCATTGTTATCATTCATGATCGACCATTACAATTGTCATTTATTGTGAATTATGATAAAAAAATATCATTTTAAAAGGAATAGCACAAAAATAATTATTAAACTAAATTGTACTATGAAATAATTTATACAAACTTTAACATAAAACATCATTTATGATGGAAGAGAATGAGAAGAAAGTATTAGCTGGCATATGTATGTGTGATAGATATATTATGAAAACGAATGATTGATTGAAAGAAACGAAAAAATGTTGCAAATTCATTTGCTTATCGTTATTTTCAAACATAGAAGAAAGGTGCATATGCTTAATTTTGATGGATAGCTTAGTTATCCTATAACTTTTAAGCTTAGAATAAATGAAATATCTATTAAAAGTTAAAAAAAAAAAAAAAAAGAAAAAAAGAATAGAAGTGCAAATAATGGATAATGATTGAAAAAAAAAAGAAGGAAGATATAGTGGCATCGTCAAGAAGCTTAAAAAATTTAAGCCTAAGCTTTATGAAGTAAAGTACGGAAGCTTATATCTAAGCCTATAGGCTTGAATATTCGTTGTTATCATTTCAAAGATACTATTCTAACTTATTCCAATAAACTAAGTGATATCTTATCGATAATGTGATACATTTGTCTTATTGAAATCGTATAAATATCTAGAATTTCAGAAGCTTAACTTTACATTACTTTATTATACTTTATAAATAAGCATAAGTTATTAAATTAAATACCCTCAATAAATCTTACAACGAAAATATGATTACTGTATCTGGTATAATCATCAAGAGGAAGAATGTACGGGATGGTTTATGACACCATTCGATCTTCTCATGTTTATTTCAGGTAACTAACTTCCCTCTATCACTCTCTCTCTCTCATTTCCTATTCATTTATGATGTACTATTTGTCATCCTTAAAATATACCTATTAATTTTACCTGTTTAATTCACTCGTTTTTTTTTCCTTTCAGTGGTATATTTTATAGGACTCTCAAAAATCATTTAATTTAACATTATTAATATTATTATTTCGAAATTACAACAATTCATCATAGTTTAAGAGTTAGAGTTATCCTGGAGAGAAGATTTAATTGTTTGAGAATTAGGTAAAGAATGTTAGAAATGGCCTAAAAAGATTTAACTAATTCTAATTTTCCTTGTATTGATAAGAAGTTACTTAGCTTTTATCATATATTAACAAAATTTCCATCCATAATTTTTAATACTTTTCAGTAATATTGAGAAGTTGTCATTTATTTGGCATCAATGACAACAACGAATGGCGGACATCATCAACAACGACAAGGTACTGATAGTGGATTATTAATAAGAAAAATAATGGAGGATGATAAGACACATTTTGTCCAACCGGAACGTCCCACTTCTGAGGTTTTTCTTTTTTTCTTTTTTTTGCTTCACTATCACTTCTTATCTTCTATTCTTATCAGTGACATCATTTGTTGCTGGTTGTAGTATGTAAGATCGAAGAACCGTTTTTCTATTTAGTTGACGGGAGAGTAACTGCTAAGATAACTGTATTGATGAGATTTTTGTTAATTTTGTTTTGTATTAATATGTTACATTTAAATCTCACTAAGGCATGTTTTCCTTTCCAGGAACAAGGAAATGAAGAGCTACAGTTTGGAAGGGAAGGTGGTATATATGATATAGATCAGGAAATTGCTTCATTCTGGCCTCGTGTTCGTGCAAAAATTGAACAAATCGATCCAGTTAGTTCATTTTTAACATTCAACTTAACTCGTCATCCCTTCCAAAATTTTCTAAGATTTGCTCCATAACTCTTAGAGATCTGCTCCATGAAGTTTAAGTAAAATTGCTGCTGTCGGAGTAGTTCAAATTTAACGATACTTTTCCAAAAGGCTTATAGAGGAAAATGTGCTATCTGAATAGATGAGCGTCTTTGGTTACTTGCCTTTTAAAATAGTTTAAAGTGAAGATAAAATATTGAACTCGTTGTCTTTCGAAATTTAATACATCCCATTGTAAAGTGCAATATTTTTGCAGAAATCATTACGTGAAATAAGCCGTCATCAAGAATTGCAGTTGCCCTTGGCAAGAATAAAGAAAATCATGAAATTGGATGATGATGTCAAACGAATGGCAAGTTTAATTACTTCTTTCTGCCTCTAACTTTCTTTAGTTAAAACTTCAGTTCTAATCATATTTCAGCTTTCATAAGTGTTTCCTACGATTTCATCTTTTATCCTAAAATACTGCAGTTTATTAATGAACATGTATTAGTAAATAGAAGGGAGTAAAGAAGGCAATCTCCGGTAATTTTATGATTCGCCAGCATTTTATCGGTTTCCACCATATCATTCGCGTAGCCATGAAAATGGCTGGAATTCCAAGTTCAATGATGACATAATGATCAACACCAACTCATGGATTGGCCCAGTTTCAGATGATTGGCTCAGAAACGCCTATTTTGCTTGCAAAAGCATCAGAAATCTTTGTTGAAGAATTAACACTAAGTGCTTGGAAACACACAGAAGATAATAAACGGAAAACACTGCAAAAGTCGGATATTTCTCAAGCTGTAGCCAGGTATCTCTATTCTATTTCTTTGATATAATTTTTCGTTCTTTGGTAACTTTATTTACTCCTTTACATTTCATTGCATAGTGTAGGATTTGCATATTTCAAGAGTATGGTTTTAGAAATTCAGTCTTAATATTTTTTAGATTTGTTTTGAGATAATGTTTTTTCCTTTTCTTGCAGGAATGACATGTTCGATTTCTTAATTGACATCGTTCCACGAGAAGATCCAAGGTGGCCATCGCAGACGAACAGTCGTGTAGGTTACTTTTTCTCTATTCCTTATAGTTTTTCATCGCTAATTTACCTAATCATACTCCTATGTTTTATTCAGTCGATATCGTACTCATCATTTGGGATTTTTTTAATAATTTTACTGGGATCATCATTCATGGATTGTTTCCTGTAGTTAATTCTGCGATAGATGCAGTTCCTAATTCTTTCAAGTCTTGATTTGCATGTTGCCGTAAAGTAAAACTGCAAAAAAAAGACGAAAATCAGGGTAGCTATAAACTGCTACAAAGTTTATTTCCAGTACCTTTAGGTAAGTGTCAACTTTAATGTCTGCATCAGTTTGTTTGTGTTGCTACCTCATTAACAAACTAAGATATTGCATCGCAGTTGGAGAAAGGAACTTGACATCAATCTGCGATAGTCTAGCTGTGTTTCTAGCATCGATCTCCAATGGCAGATCGGATCTTGTTTTATAAAGAGTTTCGAGTCGACCGAGACTTCCAGTGCGAATAAGATTTGCAGACATTTGGATGTCTTCGAGATTCGAGCTGGTAATTGTCGATTTTTGGTTTGCAGAAATTAAAAGGAAAGCACTTTTCTTTCCCGGTAAAACATTTTATATTGCAGCAAGGGCAATCTGAAGAAGTACAAGCAGTTGTTGCGGATGCCAACAGCATGGTACCTACGAATGGAAATGTTCAATATGTTTTACAGGTATTTAGAAAGTGTTTTTCTTCCCTTATCCTATTTGACTTTGTTCCGGCCTTTTACAGCAGCGGTTCTAATGTAATGTTTTTTGAGGAGGAATCATGTTCCAAATTTTACGAAAAAAATTTGGAGATCTGAACGGAGTCATTCTCTTATTTAAATATGTACTGCGCTTCCATATCTTTGTTATTATTTCATTGAAATAAATTGATAGTTTCCATTTAGGTTGGATCCTCAGATGGAGCGCTGGCAACAGGCTCAGTTGTACAAGCTACTCAAATTGGACAGCCAATACAGCTGCCTATAGGTACAGGTAACCAACCTATCCAACTGATTGCCCTGAATTTACCGGAAGGCAACATACAACAATTCCAGGTCCAACTTCCTCCATCGTCATAACCCATACATATACTTCTATTTTATATATATTTATAGATTATTATTGATTGAATGATTCAAATTTGCATCTTTTATTACCGGTATTACCTTTATTACCGCTCTACTAACCATCCTTTTTCATATCATGTCCAACATGATGAATCTAGCTCCATCAATCCCTCGCCCTACAACTAGGAATTACTTAGCTCTACACACTTTGAATTGAGGTAATCTCAAATTGTGTTTAATGCATTTACAATAAATGCATAGATACATTTTTGTTAGAACTAAATAAAATTCTACATTTGGTAAAAGAAACGTATGAAAAGCATACGTGAAGCTAGGTGCTAGGAAATGGAGAGAATTTGATGGATGTTTCCATGTTTCATATATTTTGTTTAATTTGTCAAGAGACAAGTCCATTGTGATCTCATTTTATTGTGTTCATCTTGGTTCCAAACCCTGTATACATATATACGATTTTTTTTTTATTATGTAGCTGAGGAAAAGTTTGTAAAACAAGAAAAACTGTGAAGTCCGAAGTTTATCTGAGAGAATGACATCATTGTTCATCGGGATGTTAACTTCATTCTCCCTTTTCTTCATTTCCGTTGGCACAATTTTTTACTTTATACTGTCCTTGGCACTAAGTGACAATAAATGTTTGGAAGTGCATATTATTAGGAATTCATGACTAATTAACTAATTCAACATTCAGCTTATTCTGCTCAAGGTAGAATTTTACTTTGCATTGCATATCCTTCCGTACCTTACAAATTCATGTGAAGATTACTCTCCATTTCTGAAATTCATCATTGTTTGTTTATTAAGCAAGAAATTATTTACAGTATCTTTTACACGAAGTATTGACCGCTCATTAAGGAAAGAACGAGAAGAAAGCAAGAAAAATAAATTAAGCAGAGTAAGGCAAGCATAGAAAGATATTTGAAATTATGCAATGCATTGACCTGCAATAATTGTTAACGTAGAACAGACCAGTAAACCAGATGGAGCGAACAGGTTGTTGCTTTTTCAGTGTACCATACTTCTGTCCACTCTTGGATATTATTTAAATTTTTAAAGAGAAATTTGATCAGTTCAGCTGTGTATTTGTCAAACTTTGCAACTGAGCTGTAAATTGTTTAACTAGGGAAATGAGGACATAACGTTTATTCAACGACGACCTGCCGAAGAAATGCTTTTAAAGTTTATGCAGTATTTGATCCTGCGGGAGGACTATAATCTAGTCTTGGATAATGAGCATGGTATGATGACGCATCACACATATAGACAGCATTCATAGAGTAAAAAAGATCGAGAGTGACTGTCTAAATGACTGAATTTCACACAAACAACAGAACAACATCACTATGCATATGAAAAGTTGATAAAATATGGGATAAAATAATTACAGCACCAATGTCAAACCAATTACCTTTGACGATACATTGGTTGACATTTTTATTATTACTGATTCAGACCTGGCGGTGGTGGAGCTCGGAAACGTGGAAGTGTGCTTTCCGCATACTTGACTGTTGGACTGGATTCGTGCATACTTTCCCATTCGTCACCTTCGTCCACCCGACAAAGATCACCACCAATTTCGCATGTACCTCTTCCTGTTAAAACCCAATTTTCCCAGAATGTAAAAGTACACTCCAATAAGAGCCAATTCCATAAAGACACCTAATTACTTTGATTGCCTCATGTAAAAAGAAATTCCTTAAAGAAAAAAAAAAAAAAGAAAAAAAAAAAACTCTTCCCAGTTTCTTCCTCTATATAGAGATGGGATTATGAATGCCGTAGAATTTAACCTAAGTGTCCCCCTCAACAAGTTCTGAAAATTAAGAAAGCGATCTACGGGCAGAATGCACAATCTACTTTTAGTCTACTTCCATCTAACATAAATGAAATTTCTGGCAATGTATAAATGAATGCCACCTTGCACTCGTCCTAAATTATTCGAGCTTGAGCATGATGAAGCTGTTAATGATATCAGTGAGCATGGTCGTCGAGTACCTTCCACAAAACCAAAGTCACGCAACCCACTAAGCTGTAATAGGAAAACAAGAAAGTTTGAAATATCCTGAATCTTGTAGAGCATATTAAACTTGCACAGTTTAATAACCAGTGATATATTGAGTACCTTCAGATTTTAGATTAATCGGTCCAAAATAA